GTTTAAAGCATACTCTGGGAGATTTTGAAAGTCTGACCAGTGCTTCTGTTGAGTCCTTGGTGACAGTCTAAAACCCTGGGCTGTCTGGGACCTTTTGTCTTCTATGTTGCCTGGTATGCCTGGGAGTTGTCAGGTTTGAAGTGAGCTGGGAGACTGTTGGGAATAATATCACCTGCAGTACATCCCAAAGATTAGAAATTGTTGGTAGCCTGTCATTAGTAGCCTGCATTCATTCATCATGGACAGTTTCTAACTAGGATTTCGTACACAAAAAGGGAGAAGTGAAGGGAAATATATATATGAGCCCAGCAACAAAAACCGCATTTGTGCACATCCCGGCTTTATATCTGTCGGTTATGCTGGCCCAATGCAGTCTTTGTAACATGTAACCATATATAACTGAAAATAGATTTAAAAAATAATCCTATTTTTTTGGATGGGAAATCACGCTTCAGGAACGGTACAAGAAATTGAAGACCACTTGGAAGCAGTTTAGAGGTAAAACGGTTCAGGCACGTTACCTGAACGGGACAGAAGCTACAAAAAGCTATAGGGCCCCTGAGCAGGTAATTTTTCAAAAACTGATTTGTGTACATACATTGATACATTTCTCCTGGGGAAAGCTATTTATTGGATTTGTGTCTACATGGACACTCTGAGTGATCTGTGCTGCAGTGTCAGAGTCACATGGCTGCACAATTGTTGGTTTGATCACACTTGCATCACCTTTATAAAATGGGCAGGAAATATACTCAAATAATATGATGCAGTCTTGCTATACTAGTACACAAAAAATGTCTCTGTATTCTTTTTGGAAGTCCCCATGTCCCCAGTGGCTTTGGAAATGATACAAAGTTTATGTTTAGACAAACTTGCACCTCATGACATGTTTAATTTCTGTCAGGTCAATAGGATTAAGCACTATAAAAATGTCCTGTTGCAACATATTCTTAAGACATAGAGATGTACATGTGATACACTCATTTTGTGCTCTCTGCAGGCAGGGAAAAGTTATGGAAAAGAAGTGGACATCTTTCCATTAGGATTAATCTTGTTTGAAATGCTTTACATATTTGAAACAGGCTGTGAAAGAGCCAAGGTAAGTTATCAGAAAGCTCTTGTTTTTTGCCTGTATTGCTTAGGATAAATTAATAGGAAAAGCATTTCAAAACAGAGCCCCACAAACATATGCTGTGGGAGAGATTTGCTAAAGAAAATGGGCCTAGGAAAAAGGTGACTCGAGACATCTTGGAATTAACTTGCATCGGCACCTCTGCTGTTCTGGCACATACTTATGGAGAAAAGTGTTCTGTTGATTGTTCACTAGAAACTGCCACCTGGCAGTTCTTCTTTCTCTGATGGCAGCATTGTCCACAGGAAGTGTATATGCCAGATGATACCTCCCAGGTCTCTTGGGTCACTACCATAGTTCCCTTTAAGCTGTGCTAGGGGGTGCTGGCGCATAACATTTCAGATGCCAGCTCAGAGAATTTCTCTTCAGCTCACAACCAAGCTTCCATAGGAAACAATGGTGGATGGAGGCACCTCCTTCTGGGGCCTATAGAATTGGACCCCGTGGTCCAATCGTTTTGAAACTTGGGGGTGTTTTTGAGAAGAGGCACCAGCAGTTATGCTGCAAATATGGTGTTTCTACCTCAAAAGACAGCCCTCCAGAGCCCCAGATACCCCTGGATCAATTCTCCATTATAACCTATGGGGCCTATTGACTATAATGTTCTCCATTAATGCTCCCTCTACGGTGTCGAGTCTTGTGAGCAAAAATTCTACTTTGTAACCTACTGGCATTAAAGTTGTGAGTGAGCAATTTGGCTACTGCATAAATTAGTTTGCTCTGTAGCCATCCTTTCTGAGCGAAGACAAAAATGATTGAGCTTGATGGCTAAAAACCTGTGAGCTAGCTCACACTAACTCAACTTAGCGGGAACATTGGTCCCCATAGGATATAATTGAGCCAGAAGAAAATGATATATTTTTTGCACACCCCTGTTATGCTTGCTTTTCAGTATGATTTGTAAGCTGCTTTGAGTCACGGAAAAGTGGGATAAAAATATCTGAATAAATAAGTATTTTGGATAGGTTGATAACATTTAAGCAACTTCCTGTTTGTCAGGTTAGGCAGCATTCTGACAGTGATTGTTCCACCTCTGTTATATTTGACCTATAATGCTGGTTGTCATATTTCACTAAACAAACCCAAAGTAGACTGCAAGAGTTCCCCCCACCCTAGTGCTGGTATGCTTTCTAAGGGTCAGCGCAGGGCAATGGTCCAAGGCTAGGTCTACCAGTATAGTGGACTGGGGCGAGTAGACCTGTTCTCTGGAGGCCAGGTTTAACAATATAGTGGGCTGAGGTGAATAGACCTGTTCTCCGGAGGCCAGGTTTACCTATATAGTGGAAAGGGGCGGGTAGACCTCTGGAGGCCAAGTCTATCAATATAGTGGAAAGGCCAGGTAGACCTGTTCTCCGGAGGCCTGGTGTACCCCTGTAGAGGTCAACATTTTGTGTAATGATATTTGACTTGATTCTGTTTTCTCTTACAATGTTTAAATTGTTCTTAAAGTACAGTTTAAATATAGCTTAAAAGAATTCATTGTGAGATTTTTACAAGGTTATGGAAATAAATCTTCTAAAAATAATCTATGCAATAGTCAAATGTAGACCGGTTCACAACTTTAATGCTAGCTTTTTTCGCTCACAAGGTAGAATTTCTGCTCACAACACGGTGGAGCTTAGAGGGAACATTGGTCACCACACAGAGACCCCTCCCATTGGACAGTGGTGGTCACAACTGTGCCTCCCTCCCTTGCCAGAGTGTGATATAGAAATCTGAGCCTGCGTTCTTCAAGTTTAGATGCTCATTCCATCTGTTACTAAAGTATCCCTCTCTTAAATCATGGTCTGATTCAAGTGAAGAGGCAACATTATTTGCGTCTATTCTGCCATTGTTTTTACCTCCCAGCTTTCTATCCCACATGTGCATATTCTGTGCCGGGATCTTTGCATCTGTTAAGAGATGAACAACACAGTCCCAGTTCTGACCATCAGATGTACAGTATCCTGTTTTTGTTGCAACTTGAGGCTGTTTGTATATAAAATCTCAGCTTTCTGGGTGGCTTGGAAGTGTTTTAATCATTCACGGCTATACACTTGAACAGTTAGAGGAAGGGACTCTCTAGGACACCCCCACACTTTAGATTGGTCTTCCACATGTCTCATTTTCAGATTTTTTTTGTAGATTAATGACCCACTGTTGTTATATGCAATATTATGTGGCTCGGTTGAATCCCAAATTGATCTCCAAGGCACTTCTTTTGCATCAGTAGTGCTCTTTGTATTCATGATGAAAAGATTTTTTAAAATGTCTCTTGAAACCGTAAAAAAGGGACAGTAAAAAGCACAATATTTTACTGGTTTATACCATGCTATCCATTACCAAAAGAATTCAGGCTCTTTTGCCTTGATAGGGTTTTCATGCTGATAAAACTCAGGGCACTTTCTCCTGGCCACTGAAAGAAGAGGGCGTCCATTACTTAAACCATCCCTACAGAAAAGGATGTGGCCAGTTATATCCTGGTCTCTGAGAGAGTTGCACTGCACACTTGCTTGTACTTTGGCTGATTATGAATATGGGGAGGCATTCATATGGCCATGTATGAGGAAATAGGCAGTGAAAACTGTCAGTTGATTTTTCATAAATTCTAACCTGTATATTTGTTTTTGTTTTTTCTTCAGGAGTGGGATAACATTAAAAATTGCATATTTCCACAAACATTTATTAAGGAGTGTCCAACAGAGGTATACTGCAGTAAAAACTCTAATAAGTTTTCTTGTCCATTCCCCATTACAATTTTTCTTATTAATACTGTTATTTTCTTTCTTTACAGGCAGCTCTAATTAGAAAAATGCTTTCAGAAGCACCTTGTAAGAGACCATCAGCAACTATGATCTTGACATTTTTAAGTCAAGGCGACCAGAATGGCCTACACACTTGTTAGCTAATTTCTCAGTACATAAGCACAGTATTTGGGTCTAAAGGTTTCTTTCCTATATTTAAAGCCTGGAAATGTCATCCTAACACACATGTGGCATGCAAGTAATACAAACTGCTTGGGCCTCTTAAGTCTGAAGGGTTTTGCCTCTTCCAGAATGCCCTGATCTGTTGGGGATGCCTTTTGTAGGCTGTGTCCATATGCAAAATCAGATAATCAGGGTTATGCAGGAAGTATTCTCAGTGGTGTCTTCCAGGTTATGGAACCCCCTCTGCCCATTGACAAATGGGCTGTACTAGCTTCTCTGCATT